TTTGCATGCTGGTGCTGCAGATCTTCTTTCCAGGGACTCTTCCTCCAATGGCATGTGACTCCAAGGTAACTTTTCTGATGAACTGACCAACAATCAGTAGTGGTAGCAACAAATTTGACTTTATCCAATGCTGCAACCAAAGTCATCTTCATGTGATCAGCAGCTTCACAGATTCTGGCACGGACAGTGGGTCTGGAGAGGACTTTGGCTTGAGGTTGTAATGTGGTAACCAATTCTTTGAAAGATGGCTGTTCTACCACTGCAAATGGCTGTAGACCCTCACATATGAAATTGATGACAAGCATGTCAACAGTTGCTTGTGGAACATGTTTGTTTGCAGCTCTCAACATCAGGTCTGGTAACTTGGCTTGTGTATTTGCTGAGAGCTTGTTTGGTGTGGCTGTGGCCTTTCGCTGACGAGATGTTGATGCCACAGTGATATTGTACTGCTCAATCTTCGATGGATGTTTCCTCTGTAGAGATAAATATTATCATACGTCAGGTTCATACATTACTTCATAACATCACTGTGATTAACACTACAGGAAAACATTTTTAAAACATCATTCAACTAGACATGAGCTAATCTTTGATTGTTTAGCATAGTATAAAAGAGTGGTGAATTTGGTCAAATCTTGCAGATATATTGCTGTATTTATTTACAAATGTAAACCAATTTTGAACGATCATTGAATTTCTGTATACATTCCAAGTTCTGTAATCTGTATACTATCTGTAAAAAGAGTATCGACCAATGTATCAGTATCTAAATTTTTAAGTCCTTTTTATCAGTATCACCCTAAAGTTTTCAGTATTAGTCAGGTTCTAAAAATACTAAGAGAGCAAAATATGTGTATATAGCAAATGTAATTTAAGGAAAGGGATCACATACACAAAAATGCTGCCCATACAGCTAACAAATAAAACAATCCACATTATGTTCTTTAAAAAAATATATCATATTGGGAAACATATAACCCTACTGATTAAGAGCCACGTCACTATGATAGACCTATATCAGGCCAATGATCCTGATCAACTGATCCATCAAGCGGGCTCTGGTACATGTCAGCTGAGAGCTGGAAGATTAATTTGAGATGCAGCTCAGCACTGTGTTCAAATTTTGTTTTTGTTTTTTATATAGGCCAGCTGATTGTAGGCCTGTGAGTTTTAAATGACTACAAATTTAATTTATTGTAATGACGGTGGTTATCCAAATAATAAGCTAAAACATTCCTACGAATTTAGCTCAATTATGCATGCACACACGCACATTAGCTAGCTCCGTCTTATTTTAATATCAGGCTAACCAATGGCGGTGACAATATCTCAGCCAAACTAATAACCTTAACACACATGAAAAATAAGAAGGCAATATTGTACACGTATAGTTGTAAAACCTCTTACCTCAATGTGTTGTTGTTTTTTTAGATTAGACGCTGAAGTCTTGTAAGCTGAAATGACTGTAGAGGTCAAACAAAGTTTGCACTGTATCTGGACGCTGTCTCCTTTTCTCCCTCTGCACATGAAAAATTCCTCCAGGTATGGCCACGGGCACACGTCCTCCGTCTTTTCTACGTCGTTTTCATGGTTGACAGTTGTCCTCTGTCTCCATTTTGGCTTCTTTGTCTCCACATCTTCCGTCTATAAAGTAGTTTGTACTCCACCATGTAGCACCTCCAGACACCTGTGCCTGCTGCTGCATCAGAGTTTATTCTTTGCTTACGTCTTAAATTGGCCGGTCGGGATTGCACGGCTTTATTGGCTGCAAAAATGCAGACGAAAGGTTTGAATATTAATTCAAATTGTGGGCGTACTCAGTAGATTACATGGTGTAAGTTGTACTCAAGTATGAGTAAAATTACACACTTGAAAATTACTCATAAAGTACAAGTACCCAAAAATCTACTTAATTACAGTAACGTGAGTATTGTAATTCATTACTTCCACCCCTGACAGTAAATGACCATAAATTAACTGTAAATTACACTGCGGTGAGCTCCATTCATATCCGGTTGTTCAGTGATGACGCACGATCCTACTTCCGGTCTAAAGTAGTCTGCGTTTAATATGGCTTTTGTGTTGTTAACATGTTTAATGTTATGTATTTTCTTCTATTTGATCTCAAAGAAAGGAGGTCAACAGGGATCACTGACTGTCAGTGATCCTGTTGACCTCCCTCGGCTTTTATTACCGCTAATCATTTATTTAAGCTCAGTTTTTAAAACCTTAGGATGTAACTACAGCCCAGCCATGCAGCAGTATATGAATGACTAACCTCGTATTTTGGATGGATTATCTCAGTTGTTCTCCTCGCGTATAGGTGTAACGGAGAAACAGCCAATCAAATCGCAGCTTTTCGGGCATTGGAAAAAAATGGTTTTTTTTACACTGAACTGTCTGAGCGCGGGTTCGAGTCCTGGTTGGGACAAAGGTTGTGTTACATTATCAAAAGTTAAACACCATTTTCAATTTACTTATTGTGGATAACATTTATTTTTCACTTTGCTTTTAATTTTTATTTCATTATCATTTTATTTAGATTATATAGTGTTATGGCCTGTGGAGCAATTTTTCTGCATTACGTACCTATACTGTCATAACTCAGACTGTATCATGACAGTCTTGAGATGATACATACCAGACATATAGTCTACAATTATGCAGACATCCAACTTTTAATAAAAAGACTAAAGCTAAAACTATAATACAGATACATTCTGATGACATAGAAAATGATGCTTATACATAATTTAAACAAGGCATGTCTGTAATAAGTCATCTGTCTGCTTCCTGGTGGCTGTTAGTTTATATCTATTCATTTTCCAGCACAAACTCAGTACTGACATCATTACTTTATTCCAGTCATGCTCTTGCCAGCCTCCACTCTGCATGCTTTAAATCTGTTGCTCTTCTGCTTCTACCATTCTGTGTTTCAGATCCTCAGCTATGCAGCCCGCCCTCTCTCCTTTCTCCTCCTCACCGTGGTCACTCAGAACCCTGTCCCAGCCTCCATCTTCATCACTACCAGCATTTTGACTCTGGGGTGTGGCTTATGCAAAATCCTGTCACTGCTGAGATTTCTTCTGCTATGATGGGTCATTGGAGTCTAACTGCCTAACAGTTACATTTATTTCTGTATCTCAATAAATCATGTTCGGTTTTTCCACATGATCTCTCCTTATTGAACTGCTTTTGTAGATAAGCTTCAAGCCAGAAAGCAACAATACCTAAACCAAAAATATTATCATCAGAAGTGAGAAAGTGTCTGGACTATCTCCAGCTGTGTTGCATGTATTAAAGATAACTTCAGACACTGTCTGGTTGTCATGTCTGAAACAGGCTGTATAGTCACACAGATAAAAGACAGCAGTCATGTTTCTAATATTACAAATCAACCAGAAAGATTATAAAGATAAAAGCTGTGAGACCCCACTAGAGAAAGGATGGCTTGTTATCATTACATGAAGTGATTTAGAAATAATATGTAAGCTTTCAGGGCTGCACTCATAGCTTTTTAAAACTGATTACCTGATGGTGAGCACACACAGGTATATAAACATACAGGTGAACTCTAAGAGGTTATAAAGAAGAGAGCTGTGCTGCTATTTTTACAGAACACAATTTATTCACATTTTTATATTTACAATCAGTTTTTATTTATATAAACAAAATAAACATTACAAAACTAGAACAAAACTATCTTATGTACAATATCAACAGTTTCTCCCCTATTTCCTCTTTTCTTCCACCCATCTTTGTCTCTCTGCCTCGTAGAAAGGAGACTCCTGAATCTCCTTCCAGGTGCTCTTGGCTCGTGAGCCAAAGCCAACCAGCTGATCATCCTCAGAGGCTTCTGCAGCAACACTCACTCTGCTGGTCTTGCAGTTCAGAAGAGTCTTTATCTCTGTAAAGCTGAGGGCATACTGTACAAATGAATGCAAGCTCTCCTTGCCATGCCCTTCTTCCACAGAGGTCCCTGCAGCCTCTTCCTTCTGGAGATCTTTGATCAGGTACATGGTGTACCCGACATCATTCCCCAGAAGCCACCGGAAAGATTTCCCTTTATACTTTCCAAACTGCAGAATGTACTCTCCCTGCACTTCCTTCATGTCAGACTCATCCCCTCCTCTCTGATAGATGACAGTCAGAGCATTCTGATGTACAACATCATCCCTCACAGGTGCAGACTTGTCCTGCAGTTTGGGGTCATTTTTAATCCGTCGAGCTTCTTTTGACGGGTCCTGGAGAAGGTATCCAAGTGGCCCCTTGCGGAACAACCACAGAGATTTTCCCTGGATATGGCGCAACTTTCTTCTGCATCTTGACAAGCAGTGAAAAATAAACAATTATATTAAACAAAATTGATTCCAAACACAAACAAAGACATTTCAGGTTATAATCTTGCTGCTGGGTTTACACAGCAGGATGCAGGAGAACAATAACGAGACTCAATTTGAAAGAACATTGACAACATTTGGGATAAAAGTGTTTTTTCCTCCAGGTATAACAAACTGTTCTGTCTGTAAATAAAAACCTTTCATGGTTGAATGATTATTGGCATATCTGCAAAATTTGTGGTAACTGCTTAGTAGTCATGGCACATAAGAATTGCTGGTAGATTAACAACATATATGTATTTAAGCTATCGTGTTTATTCATACACGAGTGGGCATTGCTCATGTTAGAGATATCAAAACAGATTTTCGCATTGATAAGGTGACTGACCATTACAACATGAAAGCAATACATTTTCTTTTAAAGCAGGTTCAGTCATTTAGCATGTCATCTCATAACAAGACACTTATTGGTTATTTAATTGTACCACATTATAGTAATGTCAGTGTCACAGCAGTCGGAAACCTACAAAGTTTATTTAATGGCAAAACACGTCAATGAAACACGTAATTTATTTAAGGATCACGTTCATTCATTTTTTACCGTGCCACTTTACAACAGCAGATAAACTCCCACCGTCTTTAACTGAGCGATGGAAATGC